TTTTACGTCATCCAACGACAAACTCGTTCAATGAGGTGCAATTTACCTACAATTTACAGAATAGAAGAAACGATTCTTTTTATCTTACTTTAATGTTTTGACTCTACGAATCGTTCAAAAAAAATGTAAACAATTAATCAAGTGTAATCTACATCAACGGGCATTACACTAACATGTTTACACGAAATCTTTGATTTATTGCGCGCTCAATTGCAATTGCTATATGAAGCGATGCTTTTCCGGTCTCCACAAATCAACGTGTATTCAGTGCCATCAGGAGATAGGAGATCGTTACACTCAGTCACATGCGCAATCTCATTCACGTACACATTGCGAGAAGGAAAGTTCCTTTCGCATAAGACGACGCCGTTTCCGTCTGCCGTTTCCAGCGGGAGAAGACAGGGTGACCGGCCACAGAATTAATTGCAACGACCGTGTCTTAATTGATAACGAAGGGCATTAAGATTTCGCGTAATGCCTGCAGGGAGAGGGGGGCGAAGAAAGGGATAGACGGATAGACGAACGAACGAAGGAGCAAGGAGAAATAACAAGAAGAGAAGGAGGATCCTCGACGCCGAGAATCCAGACTAACGGCCGGTTGCGAAAGGAGGAGGTGAAATAATGCCGGGCGCGAGAAGCCGTATTTGCATTAGCTATTCGTTTGACCCTAAAAACTGCCTGAATTGCACCGATGGCTGCTCGTAAAGCCCCGGCAATATCGCGGCAAATCGCGCTTCTCGGGCGTGCTCGAAATCCGAAACTCGGAAGCCGCGCTGCAACAGCTCGGACGAAATTAATGTCGCGACCTGGAGGCATAGCCCTGGTCCCTTTCCCCGAATGACTCGGAAACTCGAAGAAGAAACGTCGGTTATCGCGAACGAGCTTTACAACCGCAGCGCGATGTGTTCATATAGCTCACAAGAGGCGCGATGTTCCTCGCGCTTATTTAATTTCTAACGTCATGGAAAGTCATCCACATGTGTTTTATGTGCACGCAAACGATAATACATGATTACTGGAATATGATAGAAAGAACAAATGTTCTTTACCATGATTAATGTGCAAGAGATTTCGTGAAGAGACGGGAAAAAAACTCCAATATAATCAATGACGACCGCGCTAAAATGTTAAAGACAGACGCAGGGCAGAGTCAATAAGTCATAGAGTGAACAGTGAACACGCTCGTACTATCGTCGCTTGTGAATTAATCAGGAAAAAAGGCGACTCACCGTCACGTGCCGCTACCGGATGATCGCAGACGTCGCAGAACATCGATCCATTCGCCGATCGCGTGTCCACCGTCGTCGACAGTTACAACCATGATGAATATAACTCTCGGCGCACAATGTATCGGACTTTACGAGTGCCCACCTAGAAAAAAAAAGAAAGACGGAGCGATGGAAAATAGCTGCAGAGACACGGGAACGGGTTTGAGGGAAAGAAACGGATGGAAAGCGATGGAGAGCACTCAGATTTTATTACGTTATTTTGTTAATGCAGCCAGCGAGCAGAAAGGTAGAAAGAGGTGGTCCACGCGCCTCGAATGTCCGACCACGAAAAATATTATGTTCCTCGGTCAGAAAACGAGCCATGAAATCTTTTTATACCCTTCGCGTTCTGCGACGCCATCCCCAAACCCGCAGAATTTCACCTATGCGCCTTCCTCACCGAGATATCGCTTCAAACGCGAAGCGGCATGTAATAGAATACCTTGGTATATAAAAATGTCCATCATTTGCCAGTATAATAGGAATCTCGTATAAAGAAAAATTTTATTCTTTTTTTTATTATATCTAAAGCCACCATGGCTTTTAAATAGATTCGGTTTTGGAATATCATAGATATGTGGAGGAAAATATGACAATTTATTTGAACTCCTCATCTGCAATATGGATCTTTTTGGCACAAGTGAAATTTCACTTTCAAATTCCTTTAAAATAAAGGAGGACAGAATCTGATTTCTCTTCTTCTAAAATAATTGAGAAAATTACGCATTTGATAATGCAATAAAGATGTTGGAAAATAACTCTGGATTTTTCCACATTTTTTTGAAATTCTATAAAACAATAAAAAAACTTGAACAAAAAATCCAGATTGAAGGTGCATGAAAGAAAATATAATTGCAGACAAAGGATTTAAAATTTGAAAGAAATCTTGAATTTATATAGTTAAATAGAAATTGTTTTTTGTTTAAATTTAATTAAACTCTTATTATCAGGGAATGTACGTCTGTTACATAACATTACTTTTTAATCTAGTTATTAAAATTAAAATGTAACTTTCTTATCAGATATAACGTTTTAATTCTACACATGAAGTAATTTTGCCCAGGACATTTCTCTTCAGCAATCGCGCTATCAAAATGCATGGTCCCTTTTTTCAAGCGAAAGCGGCAGTAGCGGCGTACCACGTACAAACAGGGTTAATAAAGAAAGCGTGGTACAGCGCCGACAATAAGATACTGATAAGCGGAAAACATGTTACGGTACGGTATAAATAGAAACCACTACCGTCAAAAGAAGTCGTAAGCAGTTGCCGCACGTACGCAATTTTTGCCGCAGCGACAATGCTTTTTCGCAATTCGTGGATTTTTTGCTCGAATGTCGCGTCCACACACGGGATTTAAAAGCTCCCGTAATCTGACGATAACCTCGGAATTTAATGTTGCATTTTCGACATCGCAAGGAAACAGTATCATATAAATTTTGATAATAACCCTAAATACTACGTCTTAACATTTGCATCGGCATGATTGGCACTCGATTCACACTCGACGCTTAAGATCGGTTTAAAGTGCTCATCTTGAAGATCATTGTGCTTCTCTACAAGGACGACGTACGTCTGTCAATAATGTGCCCGGTGGTATTTTAACAGCAGCAATAATTTTCGTCGCGTCATAAATCAACGCGCGGGTACGATGTGCAAAGGGCACACCCTTCGGAAACCTTTTCGCGCGGAGGATATGACGGCGTAGAAATGCCGAGTGTGTTTCGGGATGTGACGCCTCTGTCCCCTACGTTTTCATATCTGTAATCAAATCATTTCCAGTATTTTCAAGATCGCGCAAAACGAAGAATATACAGTTTTACAAATATAAATTGTTATAATAATTAATTTATAATTATATTATTCATTATATATATTCATTATATATATTAATTATATATTATATATTTATTACACATATAATATAAAATAAGTTATGTAATATATAAAAAGTTTAAACATATACTTAAGAAATTTCAAATATGTTTAAATTTATTGTATCATGTAGTTTTTTTAATAATTCTAAAACGCGAATGCACTTATGACCAACACGAGATGTAAACTATAATTTAAGTGTATGAATGAAATCATACGTACTGCAGGGGAAACTGTAGTTTAACATTCCTAAAGGTATACGTGTCATATCGATTCTGTAGCGGGCATGTACGATGGTAGCCTCAGTGAATTCCTTGCATGAGTCACAGGGAGTACCAGTACGTCTCCTACTCCACTTAGAGTCAGATAATAATCACGCGATCGCATAAACCGTAAAGGTACTTCATTGGATATCTTTTAACGGTGATCTATATATTTCCGTTTAGAACGCGTGATATACGTCAAATGAATGTTCGCCGGAAAACACGAATCGGTTGAATCCATAATAAAAATCTGTATGAAAAAACGGAGATACATAAATCATATACATATATCAGATAACTTTAAATAAAACAAACGAGGCATATAATCCATCATAAATCTCATTTCTCGAGTTAATCCGCGTAAAGCTACGTTAATGAGAAATTAAAGGGTCTATATAATCCCAAATAGAATGTAGTAAATTCGATGCGGTGATTGCGAATTTCAAGCAACATCGTACTATTAAATTTACATGAATCGCCAGTCGATGCGATTTGCCGCGCCCGTCGAAATGTGACGGGAAATCCGTCACAAACTCCCATCACCCTCAATGCGCGGCTTGCGTTAGCATCATATACTAACAAATGTCAAATTAGAGAAGCGTTTACATGTCGCGCTAGCTAATGGTTTTCCGACGAGCATACGAAATAAAACGCACATCGTGCGAGATAATTCGACAACCGTAAACGCACGTGGCCACATCGTTAAGAAACACGTCATGTATACCTGCGATGGGAGAGTCGAGCGAAGCGGTTTACATGTCTACTCTTGCATTTACATAGCACGCTGATAGGCCTGAGGCGCAACATCGTGTGCACGGGAAAAGACGATATATCATAATTCCAAGCTGAAGATCGAATCAATCACTTTACCCGCGCGTGCATGCATGTATAAAATAACATATATACGCATACTTTGTCGAATATGTATAGTCTCGAATAAAGAGGAATACCAAAGTAGATGACATAGTAATAATTTATATTAAAAGTACCGAGACTAAATTGTCATATCACATTGCTACATAATAAAATTTTTTATCACATATATTTGTGTGAATTAACTGTGAAATCAAACTATATATTTTCGTGAAAATTTTGGGGAAATAGGATGCACGCGTGGAATGCGTTCCTTTGAAAATAATGTCGGTGAGCCGATAAAGCATAACGAGGCATACTCTAATCGGTTCCCCTACCAATTTTTCAATCCCCATTTTACGTTTCGCGACGTGTTTTCCATCCGAGTGCGCATGAAAAAAATCCACAAAGCGAGCTTGAAATTGCCTTGCCGGAATCTCGATAGTGTGAGTCATATATGCGCGTAAAACA